ATTTATTACTTTTAGAATAAATTGCACTGTTGCACCTAAATTATTCATTTTTTTCATAACACATTCCGAATGTTCAATTTTAGCAAACTGCACCTTAAACTTTAAAATCAGTTAGAATTGAAGACCAATAATTAATGGCATTGTCAAATTGTTAGTTCGAGACACGAGATTTGTACATGACATGGTTTGAAAAGTGACAATCTTTATCTCTCAAGTGTGAATTGCGTATTTTAAACTATCAATTTGATAACATTCGTTACTTATTGGACCTCAATTATAATTGACTTTAAAGTTTAGAGTGCAATTTGTCAATATTAAAATTCAAGGTGTATTTTGCAAAAAATGAATAGTTTAGAGTGTCTTAAACTATCATTTTTTGTTTTCTCTCCGTAATAACTATATACATATGTATATAGAAGCCCAAAAATTAATGTTAGTACATTGTATATAAAATGTTAATAAGTACATATAGACATAAAATTGATGTGAATATTTTTCAAATTTAATATCTAGAAGAGAGAGAAAAAAAAAGCATCCTTAATGTGATGACTTTTATATGTTATTTATTATTAATTCATATTTTTATTGGGTCTTAAAAGATTTGAAAAAAAAAATCATTATTTTATGCATTTAGTGAGATTATTATTTTAATATATTGATCTAAGTCGAGACCAAAAGATTTTATTATTTATTTAAGAGCATTAATTATCAAATATCTATTTATCGAGATTTTATACCACATTCTAATATATAAAAATATAAAAAATATATATAAAAAAAACGGTCCGCTTTATATCAATGGTGTATATTTCAAAAATAAAAGGTTCAAACATTGATTTTTCCTAAATAACTCCTAACCATAAATGGTGTTAACAAATATAAGCACTGCAACTTTTAAACTTAATTTTAATTCACCCTGTCTTGTCGTCGTTTACTAGTGTACAATTAAGAGTACGTACGACCCATCCAGATACTATATTTTTATGGCAGGCATCGTTTATTTTATTGATTCGAGTTTTCAGTTTTAGGTTTTTACAGTAAAAAGTTCTCAGAAAATGTCACGTCTAACTTTTTCTGCTACAGTGAAAAACTCTCAGCAAATGTCACATCTCAACTCGAATTGAAAACTCGAATCCGCGAAGTGAACGAGGTCTTAAAACTTTATCTTGCTTAAAAACATTAATTTTTGGGATGGCAATGGGACGGGTGTGGGCAATGATTTTCGTCTCCATCCCCACCCTTCAGAGTGATCCTCATCTTCATCTCCATCCTCGCTTAAGAAGAGACGGGATCGGGATTGGAGATTTTTGATTGAGGAGACCTATCTCGTACCAACCTCATTCCCCATCTAATATAATTATGCATTTCAAAATATAGCAATTTAAAATAAAAATGAAATGTAAACTTAAAATCAAATTAAATTCTATAAAACAAAGTATATACAAATGAAACTTAGTAATAATGCCACAGAAACATTAATTTTGTTTGAAACTTTAATATTGCATATATTTTTCTATATAAAATATATAATATATGTATATCAAAGCGAAGGCGAGGTGGGGAGTGCTTCCCTCGTCGCCGCCCTACCATAATTTGAGGGATAAGATTTTATCCCCATCTTCATCCTCATCTCCAATTATTGTCCTCCATCCTCGCTCTGTTTGGGACGAATCCCACTCCCCGTAGGATTATTGACATCTCTAATAATTGTACACATAGTTGAACTATTATAATATGTAGAATCTAAATCCTGCATTTCCAAATTTTTTTAAAAAAAAATTAACACTTCTCATTAACTAAATTAAAAAGAAAACGAAAAAATCAGAAATACCACTTAAGGTGGTAAAAAATATTATTTATACTATTTCATTCAAAAATAAATAATTGTCATTCATAATGACATAAATAATAGACTTGTATAAAATTATGGCAAACCATATACTTTTCTCATAAATGAAAGTACGAAAACAAAATAATTAGTGGAGTAGCCGGTCCTAAGAGAGAAATGAGAAAAAGAGAAAAGGAGTGAGAGTGAGTCGGCCGAAATTTCGGTACTGATTCCAGACCCGTCTCTAGACCTCTAGCCCTGAAAATTGGTTGCGGATCTCATATCGTTGTGGGCTTTTCCATGGTAGTAGCTGTGATTGGCAAGGTGGCTTCATTGGGGCTAGTTTTATTTCATTTAGAGGATGAAATCTAGACGGCTTGTAGCCATTTTTCGACACTTTCCTTGTCAGATGGTTGTCCTCTTTTTGGCTTTTGTTCCGAACAGTGGTGGGCTTGTTTTAGAGGTGGTGGTATCGACTACGGACGCTGAGGGTGGTGGCGTGTGTGTTTCGCGTTCTTCACTTTGAAGGCATCTCATCGGCTGCACTGCTTTCCCCATGAAGCGTTCTTTTTATCCCGATGGTCCTCTTGTCGGTTGTACTTTCATTGAAGGCTTGCGATGGTTGTACTTTAGGCTTTAGTTATTTATGTTTTAGTCTAATGAATGCATCGATATTTTTCCTATGTAATTTTAGTATTTTCTTTGTAATAACAGACGTGGTTCTTCCACCATTTGAGTTTGTTTTTAGCCAGCCAAATTTAAGTTTTGGCAAGTTAAGAAGTTCCGCTAACTATGAATCTATGCGGAGATGTTGGTGACCTTAGAGCTACGCGTTACATGCTCTCGATGAATCGAAAACTTCCATCGATTGTTATGGTTTTAGAAAGAGTCTTATGTGTACTCAACTTGATGTGTAAAGAAATTTTTTTTATACTGGGCCTCGTCTTTCCTGTATTTTACTAGAATTTACTTATCAAACATTTTTTATCGTGTGGGGTCTATAAGACTTTTTAGTTGAATGAGTTTTACCTTCATAAAATAAAGGGTAATTTACAAAGATAGTCCTTAAACTCTTTAATAAGTGACAATTTGATCCGTAATTTATTTATTTTTTTTAACAAAAACGACCCCCAATTTTTAATAAAATAACTTAAATGCCCCTCAACCTCTCTCTCACCTCTCACCTTCTCTATCTCCCTCTATTTTGAAACCCTCAACGTCATTGTTAGTTCTTCCTCAAAATTCGAGGTCGGAGTTCTCTCTTCGTCAGATCTCTAACCATCGCGAGGTTGGAGTCTCTTTTCGCCGAATCTGATCATTGCGAGCAGTTCGTGACGGATTTATCATTTCTGACGGTGGACTCCTCTTCTCTTCTGGTGAGCGCCACCGTGGAAGAGAGGACGATGACGAGAAAGTGTTCGTCGCGATGGCAGACTTATCTTTTCCGAATCTGTGACCCGAAATTAGGCTGGAAACGGAATCGCGCTTTAGGCCGGAATTGTGAAGGAACTCACCATATCTGATTTGAGATCGCGAATGAAGCTGGCCAAAATAGCGAATGAAGCTCGCCAGAATCACAGAGCCGCTGCCATGTATAGAGGAAACAAAATAGAAAAGAAAAAACCCACTTCTTCTTCGTTTGATCTCCTGCAACTCTTGGATTTCTCTGGATATTTGAGTTCAAGTGTTCCACATTGATCCAATTAAACAACCAGCCAACCAAAATAACTTGTAAAAGATCAAGACTTCCTCCAGATTCAAGAAACTGAGAGGTTAAACGTGGGAATATATATATATATATATATATATAGAGAGAGAGAGAGAGAGAGAGAAAGAGATGTTAAGCAGATCTTTCGGCATCGAGAGGAGGAGGCGAAGCTGATTACTAGCATTAAGGGGATGGGGGATGAACGGAGATCCCTATGCCAACATGGGAATGAGATCTTGGGATGTTGGGTTAGGGAACTCGCGGCGTTTTTTTATTTTTTATTATAAGGGCGTTTAAGTCATTTTATTAAAAAAAAAGGTCAAGTGATATGTTCCGTTAAAATTTGTATGGAATTTGATGAAAATGACCAAACTATCACATTTTTAAGAGATTGAGAGTCGTTTGTAAAAAAATTAAGGATTAAATTATCACTTACTAAAGAGTTTGAAGATCATATGTGCAAATTATCTTAAAATAAAATTTTAAAAAAAAACACTCATCAACTTGTTAAAAATGTCCTGCAGGTTAATATGAGCCTAAAATTGTGCTCAGAATGCGCTTGTCGCCTGTCAACAATAAAATGAGACAACTATTTCTAAAGTATATGGATCTTAAATTTTATCATTTCTCTTGATTATTACTTTTTAGTCGAAAAACATATTAATTAAAATGACATTAATTAAAAATAAATGATAAAAATTGAGACACGTATATTTTTAGGAGGTGTTTGATTTGGAATAATTATAAGAATGGGAATAAGAATCTTTTAGATTTCTATATTTAGTATAATTATTAGATTTTTTTAAAACTTAAAAAAATAAAACCTATAAATTTCACATTATCACATTTTAAAATAATCCTAAATCCACCTAACATATTGTTATTTTTTATTTATTGTTTTTTTAGATCGACCAACAGGTTGTTATTTACTTTTCCAGGAAAGTAATATTCACGGGAAACCTCTCTCTCGTCCATTTCTCTCACCCACCATCTCATCCATCTCTCTCTCTCGACCATTTCTCTCACCCACCTATCTCATCCATCTCTCTCTCTCTCGTCCAGATCCACCCTCTCTCTCGTCCAGCCCCAGCACCGCTTCCGTCGAGGACGCCGCCGCCGCCTTCCGATCAACCACGCCGTTGCTGGACTTTCCTCTGCCGCCACCACCAGAGTATGATTCCTTTTTTTATCCTTTTTCTGTGAAAAATTTTTTATATGAATTTTCTGATTTGAATGTCGTCGGCATCGGCGCATCTGGGTCTGAACCAGAGCGGCCACGATTTCAAAAATCCTTTTTTGGCCACAATTTCTAGCGCTGGGTTTCTGGATTTGTGTGTTTTTCTTCCTTTTTTGGCCACGATTTCTGGTGATGGGTTTCTGGATTTGTATATGAGTATGTTGAAAACCGTACAGAGCATTTACAAATGACTTGCCTTTTTTAAACCGAATCTTAGAGTCAAAATGGCGGTAATCCTTAATTACAAGGGTGGGACACTCTCCACCGCCCTCAAACTTTTCAGCTAATTTTTTTTTTCCGCTTTACAGACTACATATATGTCTCTATACGGTAAAGATGTTAACCTTTTTACATAAAATACTCGTATTCATTCTAACAGGGTGAAACTCCATTGCACGCGAAAAATAAGTCTAGCTATTCTGTGAATTTGTATGATATAAATGTTAAGGATATTAATCTAGCTATTCTGTGGATTTGTATATATGTAAGGATATATATATATATATATATATATGTTTGGTTCCGTATGTTATGTGGATTTGGTTCTGTAGAAGTATGCTTATTTCTTTTTTTCCCATTAATGAGCAGATATGGATCTTCCATTGGAACAAAAAAAAAAAAAGAATTGTGGCTATGTTGGTTCAATATATGGAGATGTTAAATGAAATGACATTTTTGTTTATGCTTATGATATTTGTAATTATTAGTAAGAGACGTTTGCGTAGTGGCTTTGTAAAGCACAACCACACATTGATTCTCATGTGAAAATATTGAAGAAACAATATCATGCCATTTCTGAAATGTTGGGCCCTGCCGGTAGTGGCTTTGGTTGGAATGATAAGGATAAATGCGTTGTGGTTGAGAAAGATGTGTTCGATGAGTGGGTTAAGGTTAGTATTTTTTTATCCGGTTTTAAATTTCAAGTTTCAGTATTGTTAGGCTCTTTTGTTGTTTAATTTACATTCCATTTATATTACAGAGTCACCCATCTGCGAAAGGCTTAAGAAACAAGCCGTTTCCTTATTATGATGAGTTAGGACTAGTGTTTGGAAAGGATCGCGCTAATGGACAAGGTGCAATGGGATTGACTGATATGGTTGATGACATTGATAAAGAAACAGAAAATGATCTTGATTATGATCCCTTGCTTATGTCTGATGAGAACATGGATACTGCAAGTATTGGTGGTCCTAGCATACAAACAACTTCAACACCATTAGCATCAGGAAGGAAAAAGAGAAAGAGATCACAATGTGGAGATGTATTGGTTGATGCTTTAACTGAGACAGTACATAAGTTTTCTGATATGTATGCTATGGCTGGTGAGAATATTGGCAGGCTTGCTAATTGTTTTCAATACGAGGCTGATGGTGCTGCAAGGAGGATACAGGTGTTTGATGAAGTAAAGAAGGTAGAAGGACTAACAAATGCACAACGAGTACGAGTCGGAAAACTTCTTGTCCAAAACCATGACTACAACTATTTCTTCACGTTGGATGATGAATTTAAGTTAGATTTTCTTCTATCTCTTTTGGAATGAGTTAGGTTGAAGCCTTTAGTGCTATATTTACAAACTTGAGTACATTGTCTAATATTTAGATCTTTTGATGGCATCTTTGGAACTTTTATACGTGGTCCTAGATTTGCAACTTTTAATTTCAGGTTTTGAACCTTATTCGAGCATATGTTCTCATATTTAGAACTTTTGTAAGAACTTTTAACTATAGAGGATTTTATGGACTACTTGTTCTCTATTATTTGATATGTTCTCTATTATTTGATAATTTTATGAACTACTTGTTGTGTTGTATTTTATACTTTTTAAAATATTAGTGCTAATTGTAATTCATTTAAAAATAATATATATTTTTTAATTCACAACATTCCCATGCACAACCAAACACAGTAATGTAATATTTCTGGGAATTTACGAAAGATTCTTGTATAGAATTAAACATAGTAATGTATTATTCTTAGGAATCATATTACCTTCCATTATTTTTTCGGGAATATGATTTCTACTGATTCCTGCATACCAAACGCCCCTTTAAGATTAAATTCAATAATTTTCTCCCCTCAATATAGCCTAACATTATTGGGCCTTCTCTATGTCCTTTCAAAAAGTGAGTTAACTCTTTTGGTGGAATAAAAATAGAGTTAAACTAATGGCTGATACAGATATCAAACTTCTCATTGGGAAGAAAAAGTTCTTTTTTTCTTTTTATTTTTGGTAAAGAACATTGCGGGAGAAAAAGTTGATATAACGCTGGTATCGTTTTCTCAAAGGACTGGGTAATTCCCTGTCATCAAATAAAGCCTAGCCAAATGAATTGAAAGATTATTCTTTTGTATATATCTTTAGAAAAAAGAAAAGGAGGACTGGTTACTTTGCTCGAGTAAAATGATTTGATTAATACGTTTCCTAGTGAAAATTAAAAGGAACCTTTGAAAACGATATCTACAATTAATCAATTACCTTTTATTGGACTTGGACTTTCACTTATGGGGCAACTACCAGCAGTGTGAAAAATTCTTTGCTTAGGTTGTTGTTGTTGTTTTTTTTTTTTTTTTTTTTTTTTTTTTTTTTTTTGTATTTTGCATGGACCCCCTTAACTTTACGAATTTGATAAATTAGTTTCTTAACTTTTTTTCTTGACAATTTACCTCTTAAACTTTAAAATTTGTTATAATGTTAGTCAAATTAAAAACGAAGTTAAAAATTTAGACGATATCTTCAACTTGAGTGTTTAATGAGGGTAATTAATATCTTTTTGCATTGAATTGAATTTCACATACGCATCACGAGCGATAATTTTTTAAAAATTGGGAGTTAATCATTTTGGGAGAAAAATTAGGGGTTCTCCAATTTCAAAAAAAATTTCATTCATGAAATGTATAACGCATTCAATTCGATGAAAAAAGATCAAAATCATTCTTATTAAGCACTCACGCTGAAGATACCGTATAAATTTTTAACTTCGTTTTCAATTTGACCAATAGTGTAAAAAAATTCAAAGTTTAAGGGATGAATTGCCAAGAAAAAAAGTTAAGAAACCAATTTGGCAAACTCATAAAGTTTAGGGAGTTCATGCAAAAAAAGCCTTTTTTTTTTCTTTTTTTGAATGATAATTATTTTTTGTTCTCTCTTTCTTCTGAACAGTCTGTAATTTTTCTTAATATTGGGGTAGAATAGTTATAGTAGTAAGTTGTTTCACATAATCTTGACTTGAAATTATGTAAACCGTAAATGAAGAGCTCAAACGATCTCAATGATCCAGCCTTTCTTATCCTCAATAATGCCCGTTTGTATCCCCACAAGGGTCGAGTACAGTTTTGAACTGACAGATTGATCGCCGCAAACTTCAAACTCCACCCTGGACATAGATGAACTTTTATGTGAGCTACTTAACTTAGAAAAATTTGGCACCAGTAGATAAACCGTGTTAACAAATTACAGTCATGGAGTGACACTTTTAAATAAAAATGAGAATCAGAAACACATATCACCTCTTATCCTGATATGTAATGCTACCCACAGGAGCAACACCAACAGCAGTTCCTGTGCAGAAGACTTCATCGGCTTCAATCAGCTCATTTATTGGGATAGCACGTTCCTTAACCTGTCCGAATTCGAAGACAATTTTCGGAAAATTATTGTTTGACTTGAATGGAAAATGGTGAATTTGGTGATGTCTCGTTGTATGAATTCAGCACATAAATAAGTAGAAACTGCGTGATGTAAATAATGGAACCAAATTACCACCTGGTAACCATGGTCACGAGCAATTTCGATGACGCTTTTTCTGGTGACCCCTGAAAGAATGGTCCCAGCTGTAGAAGGTGTTGAAATAACATTGTCCTACCAAATAAAAAATAATAATAATAATAAAGTCGTTTCAAATGTATAGATGAAAAACTAGGATTTCTATCCGGGATAGAGAGAAATTATAAAGATAAGATACCTTTACAATGAAAATGTTGCAAGAAGAGACCTCCTCCAGAAGCCTCTTGTTTACTGAGTCAAGGTATAGGACATCAGAAAATCCTCTGTTTTTGGCTCTTGCAATTGCTTTCAAAACCTATGCTTGTGAGAGGGGAGAAAGAGAAGATACATTCACCTTCATTTCAATATAATTACATTTTCACCCCTTCATGCAAAGCAATAACTTAAGAATAAGCATCATAAGTTCAATTAAGGTTGAAAACTTAATCCAATATCTTTCACAAAGAAATGAGAGAAATTTTGCTCACTGGGGCATAGTTGGTTATGCTTTTGACACCACCAGCTCCACCAGACGAGGCGCGATCATATTCAGTCTCGACGTACAAATTCAATGGTGCAATTCCCTCCTTTTAATTGAACAAGAAAAACATTATAAGTTGTTAAACTTATTCTTAAAGTGCATGCGTCTGGATTTTTACCTTTATTCTTGATTAATACCTTTAGTAAAGGGTAAGCATCCAGTTTCATACACTCTTAGGGATATTTGTCTCATTTCCTCTCATACATTCACATATAGTTTAATAGAAAAGAAATATAAAACTTAGAAAGGAAATAAGTGGCAAACCTTGAAGTAGTTGCCAACAGGGGAGGCAAAAATGAGGAAGGTGTACTCAGGTGCTGGGGCCAAACCCAATATTGGACCACTTCCCATGAGTAGGGGCCTAATGTACAACGAACCTTTTCCTGGAGGTGGTGTCTGCAATTTTATGTATTATTTAAACTTTGTATGATTCAATAATTGTTAGCCTACTCAAGTCATGATTTAGAGGTTGTTTGGTTGGGGGATTCGTCCCCTGATTTGAATCATGGTTCGTAGTTCGCTACAGTATTTTCTCAAAAAAAATACACGTAAATCGAAAATGATTCTAATCACATGATTCTAATCTATGAACCAAATATCTTCTGTAAAAAAAACGCGTTACCCAACGCTTGTTGGCTCGGGCAATTTGTTTTACGGCATCAACAAATTGGTCTACAGAGGGTGCGCGCATGCACAATCTTTCCGCTCCCTGCCTCATGCGAATTGCATTTTGGTCCGGACGGAACAGAAGGAGCCGCCCATCTTCAGTTCTTTGTGCTTTTGTTCCTTCATACAGTCCCTGTTTACTTTGAATTTAAATTGATAGTTTAACATGAAAAAAAAGAAATAAATAAATAAATAGAGAAAAGAAAATAAATGGCATTCACACCTTTAACACATAGAAGAGGTACATTGACCCTAAACTCTGTCATCATCCGTTATACGGATAAATTATTTACGTCACTAGTGTCAGCCACAAAATCTGATGAACACTTTTATGAAATACTTATGCCTATTGTAGATGAAATCCATGTAACTACTACGTGTATTATGTATCAAAAATGAAATTGCAAATGAAATAGAATATACAAATGACAAATGGCAAATGTACTTAAGCATCGTTTAATTCATCCTTTCAAGTTGAGATGTGACTTTATGTGAGAATTTTTAACTGTAGTAAAAAAATTAGATGTGACTTTTTATGAGAGCTTTTAACTGTAGTAAAATTAAAATTAAAAACTGGAATCGGTGAAATGAAAGAAGCTTTAATTTATCTTGTAAGGGACAGTATTGTTCAGGGCATTAAAGTGTTATTCATTTCAAAAATAATTTTTTGCTCCATCAAATAAAGCAACAAAGAACCTTGAGCCACAAATTAAAATTGCTTTCCAAGTTATTACAACTAATGAACACGGAACGTAGTATTATTGCCGGTCTAAAATACTCATAATAATAACAATAATAATAATAATAATAATAATAATAATGATGATGTGGTTTTGGTTATACTCATGGAAGACCAGCTTATGTCCAATTCTACAAAGTCGAACCCGTTGAAGTCAAAGACTCAAAGGTGTAAATAGGAACATAAAGCTTCAAAGTATAATATCAAAAATTAAAAAATTAAAAAAAAGTTTTCTAAGAATTTATTCATTAAAAAAAAAAAAGAATTTACGATTTTTTTTAGATGGAAAACAACCTTAGCCTACCTGTCCATAATTTAATACTCCAGCAGCGGGGCTGATCTCAATGTTTCCGTAGGGATTAAGTTGTCCTTTTTCAAAATTATCGTCTTTGGAGCATTTCATAATGTACATGTAATCGGTTGGCACTACCCCAAATCCGATATTATCCCAGTCCACGTCAGCGTACTCATCAACTTCACCAAGACTTTGGCTGTCCAGATTAGACCAAAGTAAACTAAATTGAAAATCATACGCCAGTAGAAGATTTTTTTCTAATAGATTGTGGCATAGGATAAACTTTACGTAGAGACACGCAAGAAAAAAGTATCTAGGAATTCTGACGTAACATGTAACCTGAATTTTTTTGGACTGACAGTAATTTCAAACACCGTTTTATGAGGCAAAAAAATTATTTTATAAGTTTGAATTACAATTCAAAATTTTTTTGTTATAATGTTAAATTTATGAACTAAACAGATTATGAGGTTAGTTGAGCATGCTCCTCTGACAAAAAAAAAAAAAAAAAAAAAAAAAAAAATTCCCTTTACTGCAAAAATTAAAAAAAAAAAAAAAAAAAAAAAAAAAACATTCACTGTACTGCAAAATGTACAACTTTATTTATTTATTTATTTATTTATTTTTGGATTTGACTAAGATTAGGACTTTCTTTTTGTGACGGTTTACCGGTAAGCAAATGGTTCTCTAGTTTGTTGGGGAGAAGAAGAAGCTCGATATGCCAAGTCAAATCGACTTCCAAACTGCAAATAAACCAAAAACAGAGCTATTTTTAGTTCAGAGTAACAACATATTTCATCTTTGTTGTAAGTACTTAATTTGTTCATCGAATTTCCCGTTTAATATGGAATTTTTTTTTGGGTACAAGTTGAATTTTTTAACTACCATTCTCTTAGAAAACGACTATCGTCGCCGCGAAAGATTAGAAGAATAAAACTGGGAAGAAGATAAGAACTTGATAGAATCAAATAAATCGTAAAATATTATTAACCTTGGTTGATGAAGATGAACGATTTCCGAGAGATTGAACCGAATTACAAAGGCGTGCGATTCTGTGAAGCATGGTTGCTGATTTTTAAATCTTTTCCTCTCAAAGAAAACAGAACAGAGCAAAATAGAACAATTTAAGGGCACAATTTGCAAGCGATAAACTCGGAACGGGCTAGATATAAATATTGTAATGAAATGGGAAATACGAGGAATATGAAAGAAATTGTTGTACGCAATGTTTTCTCATTAAAATGTTTGTATTCCCGATAATAGTTAAATAAGGACGCTATCTGAGATTATGACGTCCATGAAAGCTTAGGATTCGAGGTCACAGATGACAAAAGAAGAAACAGTAAAGCCAAAACATTGGTGGAAGAAAAAGTCCCAAAAAGCCATATTAAGTTTGATTCGACGGCGTTCAGACTACGGAGGAGTAATTCTCAATGGGGTGCTTGTTAGATGTATTCTATTTAAAATTAGTGTTTATTTACGGTGATTTTAATTTAAAATTAGTATTTAATTTAGATAATTTTAAATCATAATTTTAAATTTGATGTAATATTTTAAATTTAAATCACTCATAATTTTAAAACTATCCCTTCTTAATTCAAAGTAATTTAAATTTTTAATTTTGAATCATGATTTCAAAATCATAATTTGAATCTAAAATTATGAACACCGAATATCGTTTAAGTGCTGCATGGGGCCCGTTAATTAGTTTGCGTCTCAATTGGCAACACAGGACTGCAACGTTAATGGATATACATTATACGAACTTTTTAGTTAATATATATTATTTTTAAGTTTAATTCATTTCACTGATTTAAGTTTTTAATTTTAAATTTTTACAGTTAAAAATTTTTAAAAAATATCATATCTAATTTTTTTTACTATAATTAAAAACTATCAAAAAATATCACATCTCAATTCGAATTGAAAACTCAAATTTATGAAACAAATAAGGAATCAATCTACCTAGTATTATTAAATTAAGTTTTTAGAAGACTTATTAAATTAATATAGTACCTTGGTCTACTTAATTTTATTATTTTAAGTTAGAATTATTAAACTAATATGTTACCGGTGGTCTAAAATTTGAACCCCTTGTTGCAATGTTAGTTTGGTGTCACGGACAGGGGCGGAGGGAGATAAGGCCGAGGGGGCATATGCGCCCCTGGATTTTTTTTTTATTTTTTATTATTTTTACCATATATTTTCAAGGTCTTTTTTTTTTTTTTTCAGATATACCCCCTTATGCCCCCTTGAATTTTGGTTTTTTAATTTACACTTTATTTTTTTTTTTCCAAAAATATATCCCATTCGTCAAAATTTCATGATATGTCCACTAAATCTAATTTAAATTTTTTTTTTCTACCTTTTGGTTTTTCCTTATCGTTCTTTTGAGCTTTTTCATATTCTATCTTATACTTTTTGGTGTAATCTATTTGAATTCTGTTTTTAATTTACTCTAGTTAAACCTTTATTTATTTTTTTCAAATTTGACCCTTCTAATATATTTTTTTCATATAATTTTTATTATATATATCAAAAGTGAGTCTCACAAGAAATATTTAAATGACCATTTAAAATTATATTTCCCAAGTGTACCCCTAATGAATCATTTTTTTCAAGCAACACTCTTAATTACTATTTTCACATAAATATTTTTTTTGTCTAATTTGTTCTTGTTGAAGTAATGAACACCTTTTTTTTAAAAAAAAATTAAAAATTAAACTCTTTAAAATTTTAATTCACATATGAAAAAATTCAATAAACTGATCAATATACAAATGTAAAACGTGATTCTAATTTATTAACAGTATTAGGTGTTGATATTATTAGCGTCTATAATATGTTTCATATTTTTAGTTTATGCCCTTTCAAAATAAAATCCTGACTCCACAACTGAAGTTATAGTTGGAAATTTAGTTACTAATACTATATTAATTTTTTATACTAGAGAACTAAAAGTAGACGAAAGTGATTTTTTTTTTCCATTATATTTTCTCAAAAGTCGCTGAGAAATTAGATCTTAACTATTTTTGAAGCTTAATTATGTTTTTATGTTTCTGTTTAGAGAAAGGGTGATTCTATTCACACTCCTATTTTACTCTTCACACTCTTCAATTAAAAACTTCTTATTATAAAAGGCCTATAAATAAAATGACAAAAAAGGACAATATACTTAATTAATAATTAAATTTTATTATAAAAAAAGAAATTAATAAGGTATTTTTTCTCTGCACACACCTACACATATTCTCAAGAAGTAATTACATAAAATGCCTACTCTTAAACCTATATTTGTAAAAATATCGATCATTATATAATATTACAAGAATGCCGGTTGGATTTTTATAAGGCATTTTTTTCCAGTATTGCCCTTATTGTGTATTTTCAATAATGTTCTTTATATGGGTAGGTTCCATTTATTTATAAATTGATTTTTTCTGATTACAATTTAAATTTTTACTTCCCTTTTTTTTAGCTTTAATTGATTTCTTTAATAAATCAGTATGATTTGATGCTGATTTTTTCTCTCTCCGGTTATTATTTTACCTCTGTTTTCATTTTTCCGTTCACTTCGCTGATTCGAGTTTTTCTACAGTAAAAAACTCTCACAAACAATCACATCTAACTTTTTTGCTACAGTAAAAAGCTCTCACATAAAGTCACATCTCAACTCGAATCAGTGAAGTGAACGGGGAATTCTTTCGTATACATGCATTTTTTTTACACAGTTTTTTTGTTTTTTTTTGTTTTTTCATTCCTATCTCCCAATTTGTGCTTCACGTTCATTGTTTGGGAGAGCAGCGTCCGTTTGCATATTGCTGGTTGTTTGATTTGCGTTCCTTGAGCTGCTACCCTCTTTGGAGTTCGTCTTTGGTCATCGGCTAGTACGTTTGCATATTCCTTTTTGTTTTCTTTGCTTCCTGTTTACGTTTCTTTTGTTCTTTTTGGTTTTATTTGCTTGTGGTTTTTTCTTTTTTCGTCTTTGATATTGTTGTTTTGTCGTTTATGTTCTTTTGAATTACGTTTCTGCTGGGTTATTTCTTTTTTGAGTTTGTTATTTTGCACTGATTTAATAAAGTTTTGTCTTTTATCTTTTTTTTTTTTTTTTTTTCCAGTCGTTCAAATTTCGGATTCATTCTTCTATGTAGTTCTTAGATCATTACAGTAATGAAACATTTTCTTCATGTTCGCGAGTAAGTTGCTTGTTTAGTACATATTTTATTTTATTTTTTTATTGCATGTTTCTTATGATTCACGACTAAACTAATGAAGAGATTTTTTTTTATCCTTTGTGTCATATTTCATTTTATTCGATTCTTTATTTTAGAGAAAATATCTATAATCTATTCATTATTTTTGAGAAAATACTTACTCTTTATGTACTTTTTTTTTTTTTTTTACTTTATGTGGATTTTTTCTTTTCCATATGGTATCCTCATGTTTCCTATTTAGCGTGATGTTTTTTTAGTGATTTTCCGTGAGTGTTATATTTTCTATTTGTGTGCTCTCCATTTTCATTATTATGTCATCATTTTTTAATGAAAATACTCATTTATTTCCCATTTCATTTTTCTTCATTTGTTCGGATTTCAATGGTTATTATGTTCTTTTGTTATTACTGTCATTTTAGTTATCTTCATTTGTTATTAATATCATTATTTTAGAAAAAGTATTTTCTTTATGTTCATATTTTCTTGTGACTTTTTTTTTTTTTATTGTAATGTTTTTTGATGATTTTTCGTAAATGATATTACTTATTTGTTTTGCTTCACATTTTTATTATGATCTAATCATTATTTTAGTAAAAACACTTATTCTTTCTGTACATATTTTGGTTAGGTTTTTATTTTTTTTTTATAGAATTTTTCTTTCATTACGGACTCATTATTTTCCTTCTTTAATGTATTGTTTTTTTAATGATTTATTGTAAATAATATTACTTTTTCCTTTACTTCATTTTCATTATGGTTTGATTATTATTTTAGTGAAAATATTTATTATTTTTTACATATTTTCATGGGTTTTGGGATTTTTGAAGGTTGTAGAGTTTTTAGGGCTGCCTTTTTTTGTGTTTTTAATGCGCAGATAGTTTGTGCTTTTTTTTTTTTTTGTTTTTTTTTTTTAATGCGCAGATAGTTTGTGCTTTTTTTTTGTTTAAATAAAAGAGTTGACTTCTTACTAAACAATTTCATTAAATGCAATTGTTGTGGTTTTTACAGTAGTTGACTTTTCTATATCAAAAACCTATAATGTTTAATGTTCAGATTTTGTCTCACTTTTCATACCTTTTTGTCGTTTAATTATTTCTTTTTTTTTTCATTATACGAGGATAAAAATGTCTTTAAAGATGTGATAGTCGATAGTTTTGTAAATAAATGAGAAAGTATGAATTTTTTAAAAGAAGGTTCTCAAGAGTCAAGATCTGTATTTATGTAAATCACTCTATTCTCAAATTATAAACTATTTTTATTCTAAACATCCATAGCTAAACCCTACTTTTCACTTTTGAATAACTATTCCAAAAAATTATATGGATGTATGTTTAATTTTTTTTACTATTTGTTATATGATTTTTTTTTTTACTTTTTGTTTTTCATTTTGTGATCATATTTATTTGTTAATCTATCTTTTAAGCAAATTGTTTCATCTTTTTTCATTTTTTTTAATGTTAGATTACGTTTTTTCTTTTTTCTTTTTTTAATGCCGATTGTGCTCATTCCTCATATCTTACTGCACGTTTGTTTATTATTGAGCCCAATCAATATTCAATTAATATAATGCAACTTAGTTTAAGTTTTTAATTATTTTTTATTTACTTTTCTTATTTCATATTTTTAGTATCTTTTTTTTGTTTTCCTATTGAACTTAAAAAAAAAAAAAAAAAGGCTACGCCTAAAGTTTCAATAAAAAAATAAATAAAAGATAATATTAAAGTAATAATTAATTTTGGTGGGGTGTGTAGTTGGAAGAAAATATGGAAAATAAAGTGATCAGTGGGTATAAATTAGGGCCGGCAATATGGGTCACGACTCGAAAACGACACGAATTTTGTGGGTTAGGGTTGAGAAAAATGAGGTTCGGGTCAGAATTGGGTCGACCTGAAATTGACACGAAAAATACAGGTCAATTTCGGGTTGGACCCGCCTAACCCGAACACGACACGAAACTCGTAAAAAACTAAAAAATACATATATTTTTCATTT